ATCAGCCCCACCCGTTACCCGAGGAAACCAGAAGGCAGTTTCTGCGGGTCTGGCATCGAGCATCAGACATGTCGACCTGTCCAGTACTGAAATCAGTGCCATTTGGGGATCTACCCTCTCACACTGTGTGAACCTTGCGCGCGTTTGGTTTCCGCTCCGGTTGAGACGCATTGGTAAAGAAGCCTTTATGTTCTGCACCTCCCTCCGAGAAGTGTTTGCTCCGCCAGCGCTGCAGTACATAGCGCACTGGGCCTTTTTTCGACTGTGGACAACACACTCACTTCACAAAGATAAGTAAACCAACCATGTGGAGAGGGCCGTACGTAGAAAGCAATACCTTTGCCTTGTGCGCCAATTTTAAGCGCCCTACTTGGATTCAGCTACTCCCTCCGGACGGAGAAGATTCCGATGTCTCTGATGAAGAACGGACACCTTGTTCCTGAGAACTAGCCGTGCAATGACCAAGACAGCTTTCGACTTGTACAGGGGGCTACATTCACTAGCCAGCTCCCAGGCGGGAACCTCAGTGCCTGTCCTGGATGAGTACATAGTGTACAGCTCTCTTAGTGTAGTTTGGCTTTGTTTTTCACCTTGTTTCACTGTAGAATCGGGGCCGTGCATGTCTTCGACGAAGAACCACCTGTGACTATCACCTTGCCTTTGCGTGCTCGTCTCTTTGCAAAGCTGTTTTGCTGGGTCACCTGGTTGTCTGGCCTCAATTTTGAGTGGTTCTTGGCAGTCCAACAAGTTGCAAATTTAGTACTACCTGCGTGCAAACATGTACCATCTGCAGGCGGCACTGCCGGAGACTAGGACCCCCTTTTGTTTGGAGCAACTGGGCTCCTCCCTGCAGTGGTTTTCCAAATCAAGCCTGCCAACCATTCGCACGTGCAAGCGATGAACCTGCAAGTTGGTTGCCCAAGCCTCTTCAGCAAGGAGGCGTCTATTGAGACGAAGCCTGGATATCCAGGTACAGTGCTACGCGCAAAGGGAACTGCAAAGGCAATATAATGTTTCGCAACGCTCCGCATGCCTGCTCCCGAGCTTCGAGTTTCGAAACATGCGCATGGAGCACTGAGAGTCCATTTTGCGCCCTTTTTGTCTCACCTTACCTCCAACTTGTTTCACCCTTGCATGCTCCGATGAGTTGCTTTTTGCCAGGCTTTGGCCCTGTGTCTGTTTGTTTGTTTCTGGTTGTTGGTCGTTTTGCTTTGTTTGTTGTTTCGGCCTGGCCGATGACTCACCTTCAAGTAGCACAAGATTACCTGTGCATTCTCTGCACACATGGCGTCTCCACCCGTGCAAAAAAAAGGCGAGCTGGGCGTTGGCCACGACGCTGGAGGTGAAGGTGCTTCTCTCCACTTGTGGCGGTGCCCCAGGCCATCCTTTGGGACAACTTTCAGATGGCCTAGATGGCCAAATTGTTCGATAAGACTTGGTGCGATCTGGACAGGAAAAAATGGACATGGGTGTCACCAACCGGAACTCTGGTTTACCAAAGGCAAGGCCTCGGGCGAAGAACATGATGACAGTCTGCATAAGTGAGAGGGGCTTTACGTCTGGTGTGCGCTCGGGCACCTCCACTCGATCGGCGGCCGGCCTCGCAGCAGCTTGAGCTTGTGACGTTTCGGACGTGCGCATGTTTGAACAAAACGATGTGAGCCGTGCCGCCAAAAGGCGACATCGGAGCAGAGCGTGTGACCCTAGGAAGGAGAAGAGCTCTGCTAACGGTGCCGCGACTGCATCGCATGTGCCATCAATGTCCCTCTGCACCTCCCTCATAACTTCTCTAGGCAGAGGATGATAGAGTCCTCAACCACCCAGTGAACTCCCCACTGCCCACTCACAACCTTCAATGTCACCACGAGAATGGCCCTAAGCGCGCATGAGTGTCTCTTTTCGACATGGCAACATTCTGTTGAGAGTTACGTTGCTGCGACGAGTGGCAGAGTTGAGCTTTCGGGGCCATGCCTTGTATACCAGGTGATTCGGAGTGAAGTGCTGTGGTGTTTCACTCAAAACATAGGCAAAACCTTGTTTGCGTGGAGACTGACTGTGAGAAAGTGCAGCCTTTGTTGGATTACACAGCGCAATTGCAGATCATTGAAGCAATGCGCAGTGTTGTTTGAAAGAAGACGGTCAACACTCAACACCCTGTCTGGAACGAACCCTGGGATACAATGTTAACATTAAAATTTCCTTCTTGTCCTTTGTTCCGGTTCCGCTCCTTACCTGCCCCTCCCTTTTCACTGACGTTGTAAAGCCCAAATAGGGTGGAGGTCCCGGCCCGTGGCCCGCGGGCCTGCCCGTGGCCCTCGGGCCCAGCGATCCCGCAAAGTTGCGTTGCGGTCCCGACCCGTGGCCCTCAGGCCCGCAGATGTCCCACCAATTGTGGCGTGGTCCCAGCCGTGGTCACTGAACGTGCATGGTCGTGGTTGAGGCCCGGTCCGGCAGGGAACACTGGGCGTGGATAGTCTTGGTTGAGGTGTGGCAGGGAACACTGGGCGTGGATGGTCGTGGTTGAGGTTTGGCAGGGAACACTTGGGTCTGGAGCTTGCGATGTCCCGCAAGGTCCCGGCCCGTGACCCCAAAGTAGCGCCACGAACCCTCCCCACGACATAGGCTCAAATTTTTGTTTCTGGCGGTAGAGACGTGAGTTTGTGAGACGTCAAGGTTTGCTTGGAAACAAGGTTTGCTGGGAAATAAAAACCACGTTGAATAGTGTTGCTGGCTCAAGAACCAGGAATTCCCCAGTACGAGTGACTGTTGTGCGCATGCCGCCCAAGCGCGTACAGGCAGGGCCAGTGTACGCGCAGACTGTGTGACAGAATGAATCCGTTTCTGTGCTCGCAAGAGTGCGTTTGAAACGGTTTCACATTTTCGCCCTCCATAGCTATGTCAGGAGGCACCTTGAAGTTCTTGGGAAGAACCATCGCGAGAGCACGGGGCGGTGCGGCCCTTCATGTCGGTCAATCCCGACTACATGGATGAGTGCATGAATTTGGAATTGACATCCGAGCGGCAATCGAGGAAACGATTGATCAGGACCCATCAGTGCCAGTGTGCCTCAGGACTTCAAGGTGGCTCAGAGGTTTCCGCGCGAAGATGAGGTCGAGGACAAGCCTGTGGCTTTGCAGACGCTGCAACCATGCGAGTGCTCAACAGACGTTCAGCCAGCGGTGTGTGTCTGATGTACAGGGGCGTGCTGTTGAAAGCGTTCTCGCGACACCAGTCCAGCGTGACGTTGTCGTCGTTTGAAGCTGAGATGAGTGCCGGCCAATCAGGCAGTCGCAAACCCCGTCCTTGTTTTGTTCTGCCTGTCCTGCTTGTCCACGTTGTGGGCCCGTTTATCACCGTCTCACCTGGGTGTTCATGTGGCTGTGAAGCAACATGACACAGTGATCAAAATGCGATATCACCATCGGATCTTCTTACGACATTTATCCGGCATCCCATCTTTTGTTTGCGCGATGTTTTCAATCATTTATTTCAGGTGCAGTTCCCAAACAGCTGGAGGCTTCAGAAAAGATACTTGTATTCGTTTCCACCAACATTAGAATTTTCGGAGTGACGCCGACGACAAAAATGCTGACGCCGTTTGGGTCCATGTTGGTGCAATTTTTTTCTTTTGGTCCTGCTGTTGTGCTCATCGATTGTGCTCACTGTCAGTGGCCTCCAGCCACATTTCGTTTGGGGGACGGCAGAAACCAAGCAACGAAGTGCACTTTGAGCATGTCCTTTTGCCTTCGCGCTGGCGACGAGAAAAGCATCCACTTTCTGGTGGTAATCCTTTGAGAGGACCGTTTTTGGTCGTTTCTCTTTGGTGAGGCTCCTGACTAACCTGCCATGACAAGCAGGCGCATCCATGGCTTTTGGATGCGATAACGTCACAAAAGGATTGCAGTTGGGTGCAGGATTTTTTTTGCAGTAAAAATCGAAATTCGAAGAACACTAGGCAAATCCAAAATAACATGTTGCCAATGTGGCATGTGCTGCGCACCACTACTTCCTCCCACTTTGCACCACGTGTTTCATGAAGGTTTTGTTCCTCCAATCGGCAGGTTGATGATGACTTGAAGTGAGGCGCTTGATGAAGTGATTGAATGACAGGTGGTGGGTTGACTCTTTGTGCTTCCTGTATTTTGTTGTGTGACATTGCATGTTAGGCGGGTGGAAACTGCAACTTCGCGGGCAGACCAAACATTGTGCAAACTGAGGGTGTTGCAGGTGAAGGCAGCTTGGGCGAAACACGTTGGAAATCAATTATCCAACAATTACAAGCCATAGCGTTAACTTCAAATTGTGGTTTCAGGATTCTTGTCACAGCACTGAACAAAATCAAAGTGAGTTTGGGTTTAAGTGTGACATTCCAGTTTGGTTTTGGTAGCCGGGTGTTCCCAAACGTTGGCCCGGTGTGAATTTGCACGCTCGATTGAAGAGGGTGCGCATGAAAAAACAAATACAAATGGTTTGTGTCATTTGTTTGTGTTCTTCGTGTCTGCATGCGTTATTGTTTATACCAAGTTCGATGGAAACCATTTGTGAAGCACATCCACGACTGTTTTGGCAGTTTTTGTTAATTTTTTGCGATGAGGCAACACTTATTCTTCAAATGGTTGGGCTCAAGGAAACCGTGGACTTTGGACAAAACCACGGACAAAACAATCAATTTCATCGGAACTTGGGGATGAAATCAACGTGTATCCTGCAATTTTCTGGAATTTGTTACCACCAGTGGCGATACTTTATCATATACACAGTCGAACAAATCATGGATCTGATTTGTTGACTTACCATTTATTGCTTAATTATGGGGCTGTGACTATATAGATTGATTTGTTTTGGTGTCGAGTCCGGGATTTTTGTGTTGCTGGGCCTCAAAACCTGTATGACCTTTTGGTTTGCTTTGCCAGTTTGCGCATTTTTGTGTTTTGTGTTGTCCACACCAACTGGAGTGCTGGAGCGTGCAGAAACAACTTTTGCATTGTTTTCATGCCTGCAGCCGCTTTTGAATATCATCCTTTAGCAACCGTCCTGTTGGATCCAAATTGTTGAGGCGGGAATCAAGCGAATGCAACAGTCATGGTTGTGTTCTCTCCACGTGGCAGGCCAAATGCTGCGCCTGTTTTTGGTTGCTGCCTTTTGCGTTGGATGCTTGCAGCTCACTTTTGTGAGGCAAGGACAGTTTTGCATCCGATGGAACTCTACTTGTTGATGCGTTTGCCAAATGGCACCTAGCGCACTTAGTTTGTTTGCAGGACGTTTTTCTTTCCAAAGGCTGTTGACATTTTGTCGGTGCAAGTAAAGTAAAGAAACTCGATACACTTTCCCGGTGGTCATGTAGTTCATGCGTTTAAGACGTCAAAATGCGTGGTTGGCTTAGCACATCGACCTCACTCCATCACCAGCAACAGAAGTAAGTAGTCAACAACAGAAGGATAGATTCTCATTTGTGGATGTGGTGTGGACGCACGGTTCCTGATTCTAACCATTCCGGTTCAAAGACACGTCGGTGATCAGAATGCCTTTTGTGGCACTCCTCCAGTCGTGCTGGCGGTGTGCAATCAAGTTTGTGCTTAGTGGCTTCTGTTTGTTTCGGATCTTCTTTACCATTGTGATAACACGTCGTTGTGGTTGTTGCAGTCTTCCCAAAGGGACTTTCTTTTTCAATTGTTGAAGAATTGTATTTGGAAAGCTCTGCATGCTTTGAGAGACTCCTGTCAGTTGCGTGGAGTTGGATCACATCAAACAATTCAAGAATGCCGCTGCATGTCGACGGGCAGCGGCTGATCATCTGGGGGGTATGCAGCGGGATCGCCGTGCTTTGCAAAAACGGGCCTGTCGGTGGCCAAATGTTTGAAGCAATTTCGTTCTGGCCTTCCAGATGGTACGCTACGTGACGATGGTGCACATGCTTTCGGAATCTTGAAAAGGTCACCCCTGCTGCTGATCGTGCCCCCCGCCTTCACGGAGAACAGCGTCTCACTGAAGTGCACAGTGCGCAGTGTCACCCAATACGTGCAGTGCTGCCCTCCAGCTGGATGGCTCGTGTGGCATGGTAATCACGAAAGGTAGCCTCGGCTGCCTGAGTTCTCTTTGCTTTAGCAAGATTCAGTGAGGTTTCGGTTCGGTTGGAATCGGTTTGAATGTTTAAT